GCCTACAAATGGGCTTTGGGTCTCCACCCCGCACTCCCCCTCTCATTCACAATGACATGATTTTTTGTTCTGATGATGCCTGATACCTCATCCCTTCGACACCTCGTGATCACACAGGCTGGTGTGCTTCTTCCACGTGGGCTTTGTTGCTTCTGAGCTACATGGCCGCTTGTTTACCTTCAAACCTTTAAGACCCCAGATGCTATATCTTTTGATAACGGGGCACCAATAGCTTTCTTCGCCACATTTGCTTATGCACCCATCTGTCCTCAGTGATCGCATCAGAGAGGTGAGCACACAATGATATGATTTTTTTGTTCTTTGATGCCTGATAACTGATCCCTGCGGCACCTCATGATCACACAGGCTGGTGTGCTTCTTCCATGTGATAACTCTTTATAGGAGTAGAAAGCCCCATCTTTCTCCCATTGAATAACTAGTGATTTCAACTGCTGACCTTTGGGTTAGTAGCACTACATTTAATGACTATTGTTGGGAGCCATCCCAACCATGCTGTCTAGCAAAGCTACAGCCTGGTAGAAGAAGCTTCTGCAGAGCAGAGCTTCCCAGTGAGGGTTTCCAACATCCCTCAAATATTACTGTTGTTAAATCCATTCTTGAGCATTTTGTGCATTGTCATGTTTACCGGACCTGGAGCGGATGCGAGGGCAGTCTTGAGAAGTACGAATGAAACCAGATCTAAAACTTGCTTCAATATGACAGGGTTTTCCTTAACTGAGGCATTGGAGAGGCTTACACAGCGAGACATCTTTGGGAATTCTTAGAAGGCTATGTGGGAATTGAGTGAGGAAAAGACCCCAAAGTTGAGGTCAGAGAAGAAAATAAAGCCCACCAAAAAACCCTGGATTCCATTCAGATTAGGTAGTGAGGCATTCTTGGCCTCCCCGATATAGAGGACCTTATAGACTGCCTCCCCCAACTGACGCCCCTTTACCTTGGACAGGGGCTTACATAGAAGGAGAGAGAATGGTTAACATTAATAAAAAAACATGTAAAAGGGGAAACATTAAGTCTTAGGCAAAGAATCAGATGGTTTGGCTCCCCATGGTGCCTCAGGAGTATAAAAAATAAAAGAGACATAGGTAGACAATGGAATAGTTACCATGGGAGAGTTTGTAAAGGAAAATATTTAACTCTGAGAAGCATTTAACTCTGCTTGTAGATATTAGGCTTGGAAGTAGCACACGAGGTAGTTTCATTGTGGTAAGTTAGTCAACGAGAAAAGGAACCTTGTGAGCAAAAAATAGGCGAGTAGGATATGAGTCTAACCAAATTTTCTGAACACCCAATCAAGAATAGCATGTGATGTATAAGACAAGCAGTCCAGAAAGAAAGAACCAGGAAGAGGACAGAAAGTGATAGAAAAAAGTACAGACCTTATAATGGTCTTTTATCAGGTTTTAGTGGAAACAATAAGGGTGACTTTGGAGTTAATCATAAGGCATTGTTTATATGTAGTGGTCTGCAAAACTTTATGGTATAAATAAAGCTGTTTGGAAGAACTCGGCAGAGATTGCTTCCACCAGAACATCTCTCTTTTCTGTCTCGTCTGTGTTCGCCGACTCCACACTTCCTTCAGGTATCCAGTTCAACCCTCCCTCCCGGAGCTGGACTCCGCCAAGTGGTGCCCCCTGAACAGGGACCTGAAGGTCATCTTTTCTCGTTTTCGGTGTGGATAGGACTTCACCTAGGGGACTGCAGACCCCCTGGCGCAAGGCAACCAGGTAAGTAGCGCTGAACAGATAAAGAACATGAGAAGTATGGGTCACAGTGTGTCTAAGGAGAGACGACTGTTGTTTGTAGAAATTCTAAAGCAATTTGTTAACGGAAAAAGGAAAAAACATGTCGACTCATCAGATAACAGGGTTTTAAAATTTTGTACAGCGATGCAGTCCATGGTTTCCTGAAGAAGGTACCATTAGTTTAGATACATGGACTCAAGTAGTGGAAGAATTAAAAGAATACTATAATGAACATGGGCCTGAAGAAATCCCTGTAGAAACATTCTCCTTATGGAGCTTAGTGAGATTCCTTAGACACATTACAAGAGGTTACTCAGCTTTCCAAGAAACTTTCTTTGCAAGATGAGAAAACGCCTCCAGAGGCGGAACAAGCGGAGAGGAAACAGATTGATACTGTTGACACTGACTCAGGGGAAAGTGATGATAAACTCTAGCCTGAAGGTGAAGCTCACTTAGAAGAAGCAGCTGCCCGATATCATGACAATGATTGGGATTTCCCCTTAGTTCACTCAAAATGTCATTGTAAAAAGCTGCATTATGGCTCGATGAATAATTTGGCAATTAAATCTAAAATTAAGAAGTCTAAAGGCCAGCCTCCCCTCGCCCCCCTGCCTCCTTTGAGTTTTGGCTTCCAAAGAGCCCTACCTTTTGTCAGAAATATGTAAGTGTAGCCTTGCAGTCATTAGGGATCAGTATTTAGAAGCTTATGTTATCCGTTATATGGATGATATTCTTTTAGCCCATCAAAACCGTGGTATATTGCAAGGAATTTTACAAAATACTTTAATGGCTGTAACTCAACAGGGACTAAAAATATCCCCAGAAAAAATAATTACTCAACCTATACAATTAAGGCAGGATTCATTAAAAACCTTAAATGATTTTCAAAAATTATTAGGGGACGTCATTGGATTCGTCCTTTTTTAAAGCTAACCACTAATGATTTGATACCTTTATTTGCCATCTTACAAGGGGACCCTACCCCTAAGTCACCTAGGGCATTGACTCATGAAGGAAAATTGGTCATGGAAAAGGTGCAAAAAGCAACAATGAATAAACAATTAACAAGATTAAACTATTTAAAACCTTGGTCCTTGATTTTGCTACCTACTGTCCATTCCCCTATGGGATGTTTGTGGCAGAATGGACCCGTGGAATGGTTATATTTAGCTTCCAATTCTCCTAAAATGGTTACTACTGATACTTCCTTGATAGAATTGCTTGTCATAAAGGGAAGATAAAGGAGTAGAGAGTTGTTTGGTATAGAAGTCCCCAATATTATATCACCTTACAGTGCTCATCAGCTTGGAAACATTTTGCAATCTGATCCAGATTGGCAGGTTGCCCTTGCAGGATATACAGGAATCA